AGCCGTCCATCCGCAGCACGGTGGTGGAGGAGAGCGTGAGCGACTCCCTGGTGGAGCGGTTCCTCCAGTGCCCGGCCGCGCGCGGGGGGCCTGAGCGCCGCCTGGACACCGTCACCCTCCTGAAGAAGGATGGCTCCCTCGGGGTCATGATCGCCGAGGGCGTCGACCACGGCCTCTACATCCAGGCCGTGTCCCCGGGAGGGCCCGCCGCGCTGCAGGGCACCCTCAAGCCAGGTCAGTCGCTGATGAGGGAGGTTCCCTGGAGTTTCTTTTGAGTTGCAGTACAAGTGATTTGTACACTTATCATTATTTACTTTTTACTTTATATATTATTATTATTATTACTATTACTATTTCTATTGTTATTATTATTGCTGTTGTTGCTGTTATTGTTATGTTATTGTTATTATTATTATTATTGTTATCATTATCATTATCATTTTTATTATCATTACTATTATCGTTATTACTATTATTATTTATGCTGGCGGGGTGAGGATTGAAGATAAAGGCAGTCCTCGATGAACCACATGTACAAAAGGGTTCGAATGGGTTGTTATTCACAAGAGGTCGATAAAGCAATAATCTTGAATATTTGGTCGTTGTTATTGCTGAGTATCCGCGTGTTTTGCTCCTGTCGGCGGGGGTAATTTGAGCTTAATTCTGTGATGAACATGTTAATCGAAGGTAGTCTTAGAGATTATGCTGTCGATGCTAAATACCACAGATGGTCTAACTATATTCGGTTTGGAGTCCCTTTCGTATCTGAATATTGAAAATCTGTATAGGTAGAGTGCAGTGTACGGATGGGTAATATTGGAAAGCTTATTCACGTGGTGGATATTTTATTCTGTGACGAAATACAAAATCGTGAGATCAAAGATATATAAATACACAAGAAAGAGGTTTATAACAAGTTGTCATTATCGCCTCTTTCTGTGACGAGAAGGAATTTCATTTAGGAGAGAGAGTGGAAGAAGAGGAATTAAGGGACAGTGGAAGAAGGGGAATTAAGGTTGGGAGAACCCGAAGGGAATGGAGGGCTGGGGGTAGCTGTAGCCTGAGGGGGACTGGACGCCCCTCACTGGCGGCGACTGGTTCGTGCTCGAGCTGGAGGTCTGGGAGGTGGAGCTGGTGCCCTGGGCCTGGGGCTGCGTCAGCGTGGAGAACTGGGACTGGGAGTTAGACTGCGACAGGGTCTGAGTCTGCGAGAGGGACTGCGACTGGGTCTGTGGCGTAAGGGTGGTCGCCTGGACCTGCGAGGCCTCAAACGCCGCCGCCTGGAGGATGTACTCGCGGAGCTCGTCGTCGGTCACGTCCACCAGGTACGTCTCGGCTCCGGGTAGGCTCACCTGACGCGGGGGGGGCGAGAAGAGGGATGCGGTTTAAGAAACGTTTTGTTGGACTTTCGCCTCTTTTCTCATTCTTTTAGTATTTTTCAGATATAAGGTTATTATTCGGAAGAGAGGTGGTTTAGTCCTGTATTTACAAATTGACAAATGGTTTATTTCTGTTGTTATAGATCGATCTTGGGAGTAAATGAAGTTGGGTGTGCGTCGTCCGTAGACTTTTTTCCTCACCTCGTACTTAGCGCGGTTGTCCTCGACGGACTGGAGGTCCTGCGGTGCCTCGAGGCTCTCCTTCACCTCAGCGCGGTAGCCGTTCTCGTCGGCCGTGTACCTGTGGGGTGGAGTGAAGGGGGGAGAAAAGGGTGGGGGTCAGTGGCGGCGAACAGGTGTTGAGACAACCACCCAGAGACACACATACACTTTGTTCTATAAATACACGGGTAACAAAAGCTCCAGTCGGCCAGGAGAACTGCGCACTTCAGTTGCGAAACTCGGAGGTGAAGGGGAAGGCAAAGTTCTGAAGGAAACAAGAACCACGCATGGAAATACAAGAGAATAAAACAGAAGGAGAAAAACAAGACAAAAACGTACATAACGGTCATGTAGACGCCATCGGGACGCAGGTACGAGTAGCTTCCGACGAGTGGCCCGTCTTCCAGCTGCTCCTCCGTCCTCGAGGAGTAGACCGAGGAGATTCCGTCCATGATGTTGTAGGAGAACTGATATGGCATCTGCAGGAAGGGCGTGGAATGGAAGTCTGAGTAGTCGGATATCTAGTTTATTTGTGTTTATATAAATTGTGATAGATTCGTGAGGTGTTGGTTAGGCTGTGAAAATTATAATTATATTTATATTGAATAGGATTGATATTGTTAGTGCTCTGTGAGTGAATATGGTGCTTTGTGATGGTTATTCGGTACTCGGGTGAACAGTGACGCGACTCGAGTGGTGAGTACGTGGCTGTAGTGATGAGTCAAGTTATCAAGAAGCGGAGACCCAAAGCTTACGAGAAATACTACCATGGTCATAGGGCTTCGCGACGTGGGGGTTAAGGCCGGGGAAACCTCGGGGGCGGGGAATTTGGGCGGGGTGACGGTGGGGGGGGGGTGTCGGAAAAGAGTTCCACGTCACAAGGAAGTTCAGCAGGTCGT